ATGGGCAAGGGTTCTGCTAACTAATATACGGTCAGGAATACAGTAGAAAAGGACGGGATTAACCTTACATGGCAGAAGAACTAGCGTTTAAAATTTATGAGTTTATGATTCTGAGCGTTCCGGTTCGGTCCTCGAGGACCCCTGGGTCTGCCTTTGGGATTAAAACGAGGCGCGGTCAAATGTACCTGGTTACACTGTATGGGGTTGTCAAGGTTTCCGGCACGTCAGACTTTAGGCGCGCAAGCTAGCAGGTTCGCGGAGCACAGCTTGTAAAAGCTTGAGGTGCCTAGCTGTGGCATTTTCACGCAACTGTCAGCCGGCCTTTTTCTCGCCTTCTTCGGCATCCTCTTTGGACTTCTTCTCCTGAGACATGGCATCTCGCCGACTGGAGACCTCCGAACTCCGAACTACCGGACCAAGGCACATCGAACACGACACGATCCCCATGTCCTCCATTGCAGCTCCGAAGCAAGCAACTGCTGAAGAAGCAAAAGAAAGCCTAAACCCCCAGACCCTCGAAACCTCGAAACCCGAACCCAATCCGGACGACCTATCCAATCCGTTCACCCTACAACTACGTAAGATTCAGCTTCGACTTCAAGCACTGTGTAAGTCAGACCGCAAGCCTTCTTCTCTGCCTTGGCCTCCTCCTTCGGCTTCTCCTCCACCTCCTCCTTTTTCCTGCCGTTAGCATCATATAAAGATCAGAGGCCCTGAGCCCTGAACCCCTCAACAAGAGCGTCACGCTTCCGGGTACGTAAACATTGCAGTCGCCATAAAGTGCGCAGGTCCAGAATAGGGAGAGTTTGAGGTCTTGTTTCAGTGCGGGGAAGCAAACATCATGCCAAAACCTAAAGTCACAACGGTCCGATCACGGCTCTCGAAACTACTCTCGTGAACCGACAGCGTGGGATAGTCTCAGTTTAAGTAGCTAACAGACCTGATCTCAATGTCAAGGGTTCTGGCACTGTCTGAAAGTCAGGTCCGGCCAGTAACCCCACTCTGTCGAAACTTGGCGAGCTCGAAGGTGAAGCACCGACGTGTCGGACTTGGAGGCGAGACATCAGCTGAAACAACAGCTGCGAACATAGCACAAACCGGACGGAGATGAGGTCGAAAGACGAAGGTGAAGGACGTAGCCTCAAGGAGAAGAGAGACCGGTACAGGGACAGAGTCACAAGAACACTTTATCGCTGGTGCCGAGTGCCTCTTTTTCTCTTCTGCAGGGGCCTGGCACAAGCTGTTTGATGATCTGGACAAACCTATGACTTTGGGTTCTGGGTACGATCAAGGGTGGCACTGATAACATGACTTGTGGTAATTGCGATTGGGACCGCAATTCTGAGTACGAGTACTACTATGATAGCACGTAGTTGGCAAGATTTGAGGCCGGGGCTTTCCCCGAAGCTATGATGGCTTCTGCACCCCCGACCTCTGGCCAGCTTCAGGCAGAAAACCGAAGCACAAGAAAGGGCGAGGGATAAGAGAAGACGGGGTTCGGGGTTCAGATGTTGAAGACGTTCCGGAAGACCCACAAGTGCGTTTTGACCGGAATACGCCACAGCCCCAAACCAACTGTAAGGAAGGAACACCCAGAGCCACTCCGGGCCTTCGATGCCGCCATAAATGTTATCTTCTGGAGAACCCTTGGCCTTGCAAGCCTCCATGCCACCTGCGGAAACCCAAAGGTCCTTATCACGAAGTGCTTTAGCCCTAGATCTCAAGCTCTTACAACGCCCTCGGTAAGACCAATAATTGGGTCAGAACCTGGAGAAACGTGGACACCCACATAAGCCCGCTAGAAAATGTCAGCTAAGTTACCATATCCCCGAGCCCTGAAGTGCGAGCACCCTACGCATCATTCCCACATCGTTAAACCCTAAAAGCCTGCTCTGCAGGAGCCCAAAACCCTAAGTCCTAAACCTTAACCCCCATCATAGCCTCCGCCGGCTTGGCCGGGTGCTGCGATTCGAAGCTGCTAAGGGCCTGCGAGGTCATGGGCATTTCATTTATCTGCTTGTGAAGTAGGGGAACTCTTTGTTGAAGGCATGTTCGGGTTCAGGATTTAGATCATCTATGACTGACACCTGTTCTATACCTGGGCTCACTCTAACACTAATCTACTTGTTCTCATTTGGTGGGATGATGCAACTCTCACATGAATACCCGTGCTTTCCGACGTTTTCCCTGTGGGGACCAAGTTATTCATCATCCCGGCTCCTCCACAATTCATCGTACAGGGAGCCTCACATGGGCTTGGTAATCCTTTGCGGCGCTTGTAACAAGATGGAACTCCCAAAGACCGGAATCCTTTGCCCTAGAATCACAACTGACAACCTTGCAGGACCTTAACCTCGAAATACAATACAGCTTAAAATAGCAGACACGAGCCTGTTAGACCATATACAGAAGGAATGTCCGAAACCCCGAAGATTGGCGATCACATAACCTGAGCCAACAGCAGCTGGACCTTCACAGGCAACATGGTATGAGCTGCTACACTGCGAACGACCCTCTAGACTCTAGACTAAAAAGACAAAATGACGAACAAATTTTCTGAGACGAATGCTGACTCATGAGAAATAACAGGAATGCAGATAGCGACCCTAGAATGATAACAGCAGATTCGTACTATCGCTGATCAACTCTAAGCCAAAGGATAAAGCAACACTTCAAGCCTCCTGGGCCGAAGCCGCCGAGGCCTTGGCCTGCAAGGAGTGGGTAAAACATTTCTGATCGAATCCTCTGGTGACTCAAGGAGTGAGCTTTATCGGAACTTGGAATCTTTGAAGGGTTTGATGAACGGGTAAGGGAACACACCACTTTGGGCGAGAGGTCCCGGCACCGTGACCGTCAACCGCAGGCAGCAAGGAACCTTTCAAGTCGCGACCCTTCGTAAAACCGAAGAGAGCTTGCGTCTCATCATCCCGAGTGAACTGCGGTCTCGGCTTACAAGCTAAGGCTGAAAGACCTAAGCTGGAAGCTCCAACCCGCGAAGCCCAGACCCACAAAACCAGCCCCGAAGTGCGGCCTTCTCGGCTGCCGCGATCTTGTTCCGGTGATCCGAAGCCGCCTCCTGGTAGAACGACTCCTTCACCTGAGGTTACGGCTTTAAGCTTCAGAGGTTTAGTTGCAGCAGCCTCACTCAAGGAGAAAAACATTATGAATCGGGAAGAACATTGTGGACCTGCACTTGGAGCCGAAACCTGGAATCAAAATCCCAAACTCCAAACCTAGTTCCCCGAATGCCGTCGCCGTCAAACATCGACCAGGTCCAAGAACTCGAGCCTCTGCATCGTCGCGGGCCTTTTTGGCCTCCTCCCGGGCATCTGCAGCCTCCATTCCGAGGCTTTCGACGGCTTTAGCGATTTTCAATACTTCGGCCTTCAATTGTCGAGGGCTCCGTGGCTCTTCGGGGAGCGAGGCTTGGGCTTGGGCCGACTTGGGTGGGCCTTCGGGCTTCGAGAAGATGGCCCTTGGGATGCGGTTGTTTACGCACATTGCGGGACTTCCAGGAAGCTGTCGTCATAGGTGTCCATGTCCATCGTCATCATCGTCCCCATCACTCGCCAAAACCAGCATCAATCACATGGAAACCCCTTCTGATCATCTCGACAGCTTTTCATCGCCGTCACCTTTAGGATGACCGGTCATTCGAGGGGCCGGCCTCTTTCGCGGCCTTCTTAGCCTCTTCCTCTTTTGCCTTGGCTTCAGCTGTCTTTGGGTCCCAGGATTCAGACTGCATCACGGTTTTGGGCTCCGAGGGGTGAAGTATGCAGGTGCAGCGCGGCAACGCATCGTGGCTAACCTGTAACTAGAGCTTGATCTGCCCCAAAGTCCAGATCTCAGCAAGGACAGCAGAAGAACTTGGGAAAACCATCAAGGCCACCACCTTAGCTTTGTCCTCCAGCTCCTTCGCCTGCCATGAACCACAGCCGCCACAAGACCCTGAAATCACGCACCCCGAAAGCCCAGATACGACAAACCCCCAAAACCCAACAGACTCAAACCCGCAAAAAGCACGTTTGCCCAAAACGTAAGCACTTCAGGAGCTTCAGGGCCCAGCCTGCGGTGAAATGTGCGGGATTAGGGCCGCTACAGCTCACAACAGGCCTGTGGTACAAAGGTACGTTTCGAAAGTTGGGGTTCGGAAATCCTGTGCTCCGACAGCTCAAAGAATTGCTGCAGCCGCAAAACCCTCAGACTGGCCTTAGTAACCTTGGACGCGGAGTGCTTCTCCGCCTTTGCGGCAAGGGGAATGGGATGCAGAGGATCCTTGCTCCGAGCGAAAGCACCGATCTCCGTGCCGCGGGCAAAATTGCCAAAACATATGCAATGGCAATGATTTGTGTACTTCCAGTACGGGCATGAACGATTATTCAGAGAAAGAGCCTCGCACCCCACCCCTCCCTCTATCTCTCTCTTTCTCTCTCTCTCCCCCTCCCTCCCGGGGATGGGGAACGTTCGAAAGTCCCCGGGCCGACAGGCCCACCCATGATGTTCATGGACGTGTCTTTGAGGGAAACTGTGAGAGACCAACTTGAAATCCTGAATCTGAATAAAAAGCGGCAAGTAATTATCACCATGCCGATTTCCGCGATCTCAAGTTGGCATCGACAAAGGCTTCACACGTAGAAGCATGCACAGGCAAGTTCGACTATGTTGAGTCTCTCTCTCTCTCGCTCTCTACTGTTTGCTTCCATCTGAAGAGCGAAATAGCTGAAAACAATGAATCCCTCAAAGGGCTCCCAACGAGCGAGGATCGTCAACGAGCGGGACCCAAGGTCCAGGATACACTTTCAGAAACCCCGGGGCCTTGTCGGCTTCGGCCTTCTTGGCCTTGGCGATGCCTGCGTATTCCTCGCAAGGCAAGAAATCAACCCCGGATGATCCTAGGCAGCGTCAGACCTCTGAATGCCGGACCACTCAAGATTAAAGATGCCGACGTCAGCCCTGGAACACATACATAAAACGAGTACACTCCAAACTCTAGGAAACACCAATGTTCGCTCCTGCATCCATTTAAGGTGCACTGTGGCAACTCACACTCGAGAAAAGAGATTTTTGAACGACAAACTCGTCACCTCTTCATGGTCTAGTGAATAAAGGAAACCAAGGGCCCAAATGTAGACCCGACAGAATTTACAACAAGACCCGTGCCAGCAGACCTTTGCATCACGATACGAAAAAAAGAAAACACACTGGGACTGTAGAACCGAGCCAGCGAGAACCAAGTCGTGCTGCTAAGTTCCAAGTGCCCGAAGACTTGCTTGCGGCCTGCGTATCAGTGCAAAGCTCTGCCTCCGCCTCAGCGGCGGCCGCTGTGGCGGCACTGGCAGCGCTGGCGGCGGCCTCCGCAGCTAAGCTTGAGGAGAGCTGTGGCTTTCGGAGAAGTCAGGCCATGAGAAGTTTACGGACTTGGGGCCCAAGATAACCTCTTCAGCTCGACTGCTCTCTGAAGTGTCGGGATCACCAGTCGTCGTGCGGGAGATACTGCTCCTCTCAGAGCTTAATGCGCGTGCTAAATCACTCGTTGCATGAGTTCATGCTCGTAGATGCTTCTAGGTTATGTATTAGTAAAAGCCACCGATGGTTTTGTACCTTATCCCCCAACATCCCCAAGTGGCATCAGATTCTTAATTGTTTCTGTCATCTGCGTCAAGCGACTATGTAAGGGGACGGAACTGCAGATGGCAGGGACGTAAGGCGACTCCTTTCGAAGCGAAAGAAGTCCGCAAACTCCTTCTCCTAGAAAGGATGTCCTATTGAAATGGCTTTGATGGCGTAGGGGACAGAACAACATTCAGAATTTTGAGGCTAGGCTGCATTCGCTTCGGTCTCCTGTTGACAGAAGCTACTCTGTTGGAGTGGGATTTGCCAGCCGAGCAGGTCCCAATCGCATAATGCCCTTCAGGTGCAAACATTTGCAAGTAATCCTAACGTCATCGGAGTCTGTGCAGAATTCCACTCCAAGAGACGCCACAAAATGAAGAGTGATGCATGAGGGGCACCACCGAGAAGGAAGAAACAACAAAAACAAGCAATGTGTCAGACTGTCACAGAAGCCAAAAATTCCTTAACGAACCAGTGCAAATCCGTGGCCTTGGTGAGGCTTTCCCGCTGCTTTTGCCTCATGACAAGACATGAGCTGGGGGTCAGGATTGAGGGTTTAGGGTCAGGTATGTTCACTGCTCACTGGCTTTGTGGTTTTGGGGGTCAAGGCAAGCCTGAAGGGTTGTGCCTCCAGGTCCAAGGCCGTCAGGCCAGCGCATAATGAAGAATCTTCAAAAGCCAAAGCCCGAACCGCGAAATCTTGCCTCAAGCCAGCAAGCCTGCGAAAGTTGAAGCTCGCAAACATGTTCCCCAAAATCCATAGCCCAGCCTCACCCAGACCGCAAACCCTAATCACCCCAAACAAAAACCATTAGAAAAAAACATGTAACGAAAAGGCCCTGCCTGGCAGCTGCCTCGGCCTTTTCCGCCGCGAGCTTCGCGGCAGCCGCCTGGGCCTCTTCCGCGGCCTTCGTTACATTTTCCAAGCTTCAACAAGGCTTGAAGGCTTGACAGGAGTCGGCTTCTGAAGGAGCTTCAATCGTTGCTGGGCTTTGTCCATGACTTCAAGGTTCAAAGTGCGGGCTTAGGGGGTTTTGAGCGGGTGGCATGGCCTTCAAGGGTCAGAACTATCAAGCTTTGACGGATTTCAGATCTTCGCACGATTCTTAAACTTATAAGCACTGCCTTGGTTGGGGTCGGGAATTCTTCGGAGGTTAGAGCTTATGGCTTCGCCGGCTTCGGAGCTTAAAGTCTGCGACTCGGATGCAGCGGGGTTGCAGAAATGCAAGGATGGAGGGTCACGTTGCAGAAGAAGATTTATTGCAGGGTTTCCATCTTTAGGGGAATCCTGAGCAGTAGGCAGCTGCTGAGCCTGGCAGAAGGTATCTCCCGACATAGCACTATCAAGAAGCTCTCTGTCCTTTCGGCTTCCTGAATTTATCCATACTTCCCCTGCCTTGGCGGCCTTTTTACGAGCCTCCTCCTCCAGCTTCTTGCTGGGGTCCTGCTTGCGGGACAAGGCCACGGACTTGGGTCTTGAAGATTCTGGAAGAGTCCAAGATCTGTGTCTTGATCTGCACATCTGGCCACCAACTTAGCCCTCCTTTTCTAGGTTCGTTCTGGTTTTGAAAGGCCGGTGCAGGCTCGGTACCTGGGAACTCGCCGGCGGTTGACATCGAAACCACATCTAAACACCTGAATTCATGAAGTCCTGAAGTGCCTAACACTAAAGCTCCAGCTTTGGTTCTGGCCTCTGGCTTCACCTCCTCCACATCATCCGACTTGGACTCGTCGTCCTACCAAGGTTCCAGCTTTTGTGCTTAAAGGCTGCAGCGGCGCATGCCTGCGGCTCGAAGCCACGGGCAGATCTTGACGAGACTTCTAGGGTCTTTCCGCAACTTCGGCATCCTAAAACCTGACAGCCTGAACTCTCAGCTCCCCAGCCCCTGAGACTCGGGTTTTGGATGCTGAGAGTAGGCTGCAGCACCTTGTCTGCTTTCTCCTTGGATTTCTCCTTCTCTTTATCATCATCGTCATCGTCGGAGTCGTTATCATCGCTGCTGTCGGCCTTTTTCTTCTTCTTGTCCTGCTAGGGGCACGAGGTCAGAAGGAGACGGCTTCCGCCTCCAGGCTGATCAGAAATCGTTATGTGTATCAATGTCGAGAGCAAGACTCCAAGCTTGACCATCAATCTCGATGATATCTATGGGCAGACAGAGATGCTGCCCTTTCCACATGCCGACGTTCTCAGATGTCGAAAGAACAGCCCGGACTCAAACCTGGCAGATCTTACAAGTCTCTCCACAAGACAAAACCTCTGAGCATGCAAAGGTAGAATAACAGACGTCCGAAATCGTCCTAAATTGTAGACACACGCCCATGTTCCTAGAAACCAGTCTAAATCTCGCCAAGGCTGATCCATTCCAAGCACGAAAGACTTAGAGGAGATGTCTTAGACGCTCTGCCTGCAGCTCACAATCTTGCAATGCTGCAGCCCTTCAAGAGCCTAACCCTAAAAGGTCACAGGATCGTCGCCTCTTCGGAGCTATCGCCTGGCCGCTGATGCACGGCTCAGAGTCTTAAGCTTTGGTCTCTGTGTTTGGCAGGAGAAGCAGAAACCTTCAGCCTCTTTTGCTCAGTTCCAAGCTCGCGATTTGTGTCCGACGCACTCAGTACAATGAACCCAAAACCATTCACAGATAGACTGACAGCCTAAACTCTTTCTGGTGGCAAACGAGTTTCTGTCACATGTGACATGTTTCTTGTAAATGCTTCTTCTTGCGCCTTTGCCGAATCGCAATGAAATTTTTGAGTCAAACCCAAAAGCGTAGGCCCTGAGTATGGCGAATGATTGCACGATGCTGTAAACAAGCTAAACAGCAATCCCAACCCGTCCAAAGGCACCCTCTAGGACTCTCGGCCTGCTGAGGTCTGCTCACAGGGGCAAAATGGGCAAGGCTCCTTAAAGTTAGAGATTTCCACTCTCCGGAAACAAAGCTTGCAAACCTTTACAGGACAATTCCAGAATGCATCGCCCTGTCTCGAGTCTGGTCCTGGGCTCATGCTTGGCGCCAACACTCCGCTTTCCTGAAGCGTACTATCGATGTCAATCCTATACCACCCAAGGATCTCTACAACCCTCTTGTGCCACTGCAGGGTGACAAATCTTGCACCTGGCGTTAAGCAAGCAGCAAGCCAAAATCTTCCAGCCCAAACCAGTCAGCTTGACTGTCATCGCTGCTGGATTTTGACCTCAGTGCAGCACCGCAGGACACATATCTCCGCGGACGCTGATACTTTGTGGACAGGAGTCCGTACCGGACAGATTATACATGGCAGTACATGATGTGTCGTCGTCCTCATAGGGCAATCACCGTGGTTTTGTTTTGGGTATTTGCGAAGAAATGCTTTTTCAGTCCAGGCAGTGGTGGGGAGGAGCAGGTCATAGACACTTTTGCAGCTGCACGCCTCCGCGAAGTCAGAGTTCCGTTTGTCATCCAGACCACAAGCATCATCAAGACAGCTGAGGCTCTGGCTTTTTCTTTTTCTTCTTATCTTTCTCCTTCTCCTGAATGCTCGCCAGCAGCCATCTAAACAACCTTATCTCTCCCCGCTAGCGATTCGCATTATTGGTCAGAGGCATAGGACTCAGGACTCACAAGACTGCACCTTTTGCGAGAACTCTGCGAATGCAAGCTCCTGCCGTGACCCCGCTTTTGTTTCAATCCACAGCCCATCATGATCTTGCAACATCAGACCCTGCTGGTGCCAAAAGACTTCGTTCTAACTTGATGACCGCCCTTGGCTCATCTCATTGTATACAGAAGGTGGCAAGACCTGATGATTCCTGCAAGTAGGTGTGGAACTGCGAGGCGTCACCGGTTGGACGACTCCGGGCATGCAGGTTTCCGGAGCACCTGAAATTTTCTTAGTTCTCTACGTCGTCAAAAAACATACGCCTGGTTGTTAGGGAACCCAATACACTGCTATCACTCTTATGCTGACCCATGCCCGAGATGGCAGTGCTTGTGCATCTTGCGCTCTGTGTCATCGCTCTTCACCTCCTCATCACCATCTTTAGCATCAGGCGCCACCACCAGCTCCAGTCAATACAACCTCAATCGCCACAACCACCACCGCCGCCACCAAGACGATGATGATGACGAAGACGATGAAGATGAAGATGAAGCTGAAGCCGAAGATGAAGAAGAAGATGATGATGATAATGATAATGACGATGATGATGATGATGGTGATGATGCTGATGACGGTGATGGTGAGGCTGATGATGATGATGATGAGGATGATGATGATGATGACAGCGAAGAAAATGAGGATGAGGATGATGATGATGATTATGATGATGCTGATGATGACGACAACCAAGAACATGATGATGATAATGATAGCAAAAAGACGATGATAATGACGATGATGATGGTGATGATGGTGATGATGGTGATGGCGGTGATGATGAGCCTGATGATGATGAGGAGGAGGAGGTGGTGCTGGTGGTGCTGGTGGTGCTGGTGGTGCTGGTGGTGCTGGTGGTGCTGGTGCTGGTGCTGGTGCTGGTGGTGCTGGAGG